CATTTTATCATGACTTAGTGTGGGAAAGTATAGTGAACTCTGGATAAATCCATAGGAAAGTGACCTTAAAAGGTGCTATAGTATATGGTAAAGTGGTTGTTATTCTTTAGATTTGAGGAAACCTGCAGTAAGTCTCTTACAGTGCTGTTGAACTGATATCTTCAGTAGCCTGCACATCCATGCTGGCAACACAGCAGCCTTTTCCTTAACACACACTGATTACCACCCTGCAGCCTTCTGCCATGTCTGTCTGCCAGACTGACCCTTCTCTGCTCTCGACCAGCTCTGAAACCCCCTCCACCACCGATGTTTAGTGCTGCACTGATCCCAATACCGGTGAGACGTCCCCCCGACTTTATCATGACTAAGGTCAGGGTTGAGAGACAGGCCAGGTGGGTGTTGTGGAGAGAGGGGGGGGTTATTCCAAACACATCATTATAGGGCTGTTTATTGCTTCCACCTGCAAGTGCATTGTGCTCTAAGAAAGACCTGAAATTGGCATGGATTTTTCATCCTCATATCATCATGACCTGATTTAAAGGAAAACGCTTCCTCTTTCTTCTCTCTCAGGGCTTGGCTTGGCACTTCCTGTGTCAGCAGAAAAACGAACAGCCTCAAACCGTGCCGTTCTGATTCACGAGCAAAAAAAAGTCTGTTCTTCTGCTTCCTCAAATTTCTCACTAACTTTAGTGCGTTATCTGCAGTTAACCTCCCCTCTCAATGTTTTTTCCTGTGTCAGGCTTTTGGCTTCTCTGACTGCAATTTCCGATTTTTATTTCCTTTTTCATTCCTGTGCTGCTAGGACTGCAGAACACATTAGTTAACACCCACTTAAATCAGAGGAGACTGAGATTTTATCTCGCTTTGTTTTAAATCTGACGAAGTGGCCACCAGTTTTTATTTCATGCCAAGATCAACTTGTTCACCCACTGTGCAACTTAGAATCTGTGCACAGATCGACACTCACTGGCCAACATATTAGGAGCCCCACTGCAGTAACCTCCTGGGCTTCTGTAAGAACAGCTTGAATGCGACTTGGCTGTACAGTAATAAAATATTTGCCAGTTGCACTGAGCTGCATGCTCTCCCATTTTTCAGCAGGACTAAAAATCTGCAGTTTAGTCTGACCATGAAAGGCAAAAGAGGTCTGGGCTTCTGCCTCACTACCACTGAATGCACACCAACTTATTCAAAGCATGATTGACTATGATAGAAGAAAACCCAAGTCCTTTATTATATCGAAGATTATTATTGGTTGCAAACCCTCAACTTTGAAGTGCTGGGCAAGGCAATCCTGGGTCATCTTCAGTGTATTGCCACTATTAATTGCAAACAGAATTACAGTGGCTTTTATGGACAATTGTGAGTTTTTTGATCCAGCTGTGTTCCAGCTGCACAGGATTTAGCCTCCCACAGTTCACTTCAACGTCAGGTCTGCTCCGCTCGCTTGGGGTCAGCTGGTTTGCCTCCAAATGATCTGAGTCTCTTTCAAATGTCTCTGAATGCCACAGGGTATTTAGGCCAGTACCTCATCTTCAGAAGCATTCTTATATATTCAAGAAATGGCTACATTCAATGCTGATCAGATTTAGTTTTTTGGCAAGATCTTGTCCTAAAGGCTGGGGCCCCTGTATGCAGATGGCAGCAGTACAGCATATCAGAGGTGACTTCTGTAAACCTCATTATTTGGAAAACCTGTGACAGAACTGGAATTTAAACAGTGCGTAAAGATAATGAAATGCTTGGGGGACTTTTGACCTCCAATCAGGAATATATTATTAATACAATATGTCTGTGCCCATCACCTGAAATTCCAGTGGGCTGTTGCATATTAAGTGTTGCTTTCAACTATGGAGAGGCAGGCCAGCTCTCTTGCCCTTTGTGATTTATGTCCACGTTGCCTGTGCCTTTCCCAGTACAATGTAAACCAAGAGGACTGTGGTTTTGGCAGTGCAGCTAATTACAGGATCAGCTAGCGGTGCTCTGTAAACACACAGAGTGCTTCAGGCACCAGAGTCCCGTGCATCTCAGTTCATTTTTCAAAGGGAAAATATTCATCCAGGCAGCCCATCTAGATGGTTTTTGAGAGATTCCATTTTTTTCCAGGTTCCAGAAGGTGTTTAAGGGGCGGATTGTTCCGATCCGAGTGTCTGTACCTCTCACAGTAAAGAAGCACCTCCTGTGTCCTGCCTCTTCCAGGATCTCTTCCATTACTTCAAGGCGTTCTGGTTTCTGTACTGATTGCATTGAGCCAAGCTCTGTTCGTTTCTCCTCTCACCTTTCTACTGCTACTGAACCTGGTTAGATGTGCTTCTTGTTAAGGAAATCCAGCACTTCATAGATGCATAAGGCTTGATTTTTTTTGTCATTTTCATGTCTTTTATGGTTCCTGTGCAGACAAAAAGCATAAGTAGTGTACTACAGTAGTATATTGTAATTGTTTATTTATATTTCACATAACTAACTTTTGAGGGAGTGGAGAGGAACGGTGGTGTAGTGGTTACCATAGCTGCCTCACAGTGCTGGGGCTCTGGGTTCAATTCCTGACTTGGGGTACTATCTTCGTGGAGTTTGTATGTTCTCCCTGTGTTTGTGCGGCTTTCCTCCAGGTGCTCTGGTTTCCTCCCACGGTCAATATATTGGCTTCTGGGAACACTGCCCCTGGTGTGAGTGTGTGGGTGTCTATGTCTGTGTGTGTCCTGTGATGGACTGGCGTCCTCTCCCGGGGAATCCTGCCTTGCCGGCTGGAATAGACTTCTGCTCTCTGCGACTCTGAATTGGATAAAAATTGTTAGAAAATGGCCGGGTGAGCAACTGACTTTGAGAATGGAGTGTCGAGAGATGAGCTCATAACTCCCAGGCAGGATGTTGCTGTAGTGCATTTGAGAAAAGTATGTCAGTAAAATATCCTGCTGTATGAAGGGGTACACAGTGTGGAAATCACTCTGGATAGTGTTAACCAAGTGAATCCAGTTCAGCACAAGCTATTCATAACAGCAATAACTGCCCTGGTCTTCTGCATATTTCAGACTCATGCCTTTAAAATAAAGTGTTGATTTTGCACTTTTGTGTTCACACCATGTGCAACCTCCCTCAGCCAGCTCCTTCATGCAGCAGCATGATCACATATTTATTGTTCTCTACAACATTATTGTTCTTGTTATTTTTTATGTTTGTAATGTATTGTCTACAGTACAGTATGTGATGTTGTCTGTCGTACTGTGTTGGCTGCTTTACTGCGTATGCCCTGAGAGATCAGTGTGAATAAGAGTTCCAGTGTACATGTACATATAATAATAATTATAATATTATTATTATTATCATCATCATCATCATCACACCTGAAGAAGGCTCCATGGCCGAAACGTTGTGTTTTCTTTCTTCTTTTTTTCAGCATGGAATAAAACCTATTACTTGTTCCTATGAAGCCTACGCATGCTGACGCAGCTACCCACCTGAACTACTACTAATAATAATAATAATTGCTTACACTTATACAGCGCTTTTCTGGACCACCAACCACCTCAACCACCACCAATGTGCTGCATCAACCATATGTCAATAAACTCCTCTACTGTACTCTGTGTTTCTGAGCTCATGACAGTGAGTCTCGCAGTGATGTCAGGTCTACTGCAGCAGATAGCCTCTTCATCTGTGAGCCAGAGCTAACAGCAGCTTTTGTTAGATGTTCTTTTCATTCCTGACCTCCTCCGGGGTTTTTTTGCATGCGGACCACAGCAAATAAAAGTATCTCCGTGTATAAAATGAATCGTTCATAAGATGCTTGTCTAATACTGTACCTTGTCCTATTTAAACAATGGTGTCAGGGGAATTGAGCACTGGGAAAGAATCAGATTTGATAAATGTACAAATAGGTGCGTGAAGACGGTTCGTATGGACAGTACAACGCCAGAGGAAATTAACATCACCTTATCATCTGCCATTCTTAGAACACTGTCTTCTAGTGGACACTTGTGGTTCTAGTATCGGGTACAAATAGTACTGATGAAGCAAGACTGTGCAGAAATCTTATTACTATGTCTGTTTATTGAATTGATTTAGAATAGGGTGATGAGTCTGGAGTTGGCTGACATGCAACAGCATGTATTGGAAAAAACTGGGGTTTTCACCTTTCTGGAACAAGCAGAGGAGGAAATGGACCAGCAGCACTCTGGGAACTCACCCTTCAACCTTTTGGGTAGTTCAGGGGGACACTCACTGTTTCACAGTTTAAAATCCAAATACCGCACTGGAAATGTGTGAAGATACACGTCAAGATAAACCTCCTGAGGACGGCCTTCTGGGATTCAAACAATTTGTGTCGAATCTGTTCCTTTCATATTTAAGCCTCCACATCTATAACCAATATTGGATTCTCAGTAGTGTAAAAACAATATTATTCTGTTTTGGGTGTAAAAAGATTTTTTTAACTCTCTATGTGGTTCTGTGACCTAAAATTGGACCCACACTTAGATGTAGGACGGCCTAGTGCAGTTATATAGGGAGGTCTGCCTATAACTTTGCCATTGAAGAGAACATAGTAGTCATTGCCTGTTCACAGCAATGCCTCTGAAATCTACCCATAACTCTGAAATCTCAAAAAATTCCCAGGAACCCAGCAAGCACTAAAATAGATGCTCATCTTGCTTCCCTTGATGTTTATTAATTTATTTTTTTCCAAGGTTTCCATTAAGGGGCACAGTTGTTTTCAAGCCCAGGGAGTTCATTTTTCCACTCTTCCTGATTGGTTGAAGCGCTGTATCCTTCATGATGTTCTGCTTTTGACTGTGTTGCAAGGGCACATTTGGACAGATTTTTGTACAGTATAAACAACACTTTGTGATGCAAAATTTGATATCGCTGGGAGCTCTGTTTATCATTATATATGTTTGTTTTCAATAATAGTCCCATGCTTTCCCAACCCTTTCCACCCTACAGAACAGTACTCTCATTACCTGTCCTGGAATACCAAAGTCCTGTCCTTCTCTTTGTGTCCACAGGGTGGCAACCGACCACAATTCGGACAACACAACAGCAATCCTGCGTGAGTGGCTCATCAAGGTGCAGACCTACTACCACTATGTGGAGTGGAGACCGCAGGAGGAGCCACAGTAAGGAGGGCAGGAGCCTGCGATGGAAATACAGATGCAGTAATGGTTGATGGTCCAATTCCACAGTGTTGTAGAACAGGTCCCCTGTCAGGACACTGCGGTTGTAGCCTTAATCAGAAATGCCATATCCTGTTTGACAAAAATAAGCAATTATCCTGTGCATACTGTAGATCTTGACTCATTCTTGTGCAGCAATGTACTTTTTAAAACCTATCAACCCAAGCAAGGACAGTGCTTTCCTATCAGCTCATTTATATGAATATCACTTCAGTTATTTATTTGAGTTCTTTTTTAAACTATCAGAAGTTCGAGTCCTTCAGTCAAAGGCTCCTGGTTATTTCAGCTCAGTTATTGGATTAAATAATAAAAAACACCTTTCTCCAGTACTAGAAGCATGTTATAGATGCTGTACTTTCAATCAAGCACATTTTTGCCCTTTAGTTTTATACAATAAAGGAGAACATGTACACAGTAGTGGAAATTGAAATAAAATCCAGAAGGTGACACAGCACTTATGGTGTCACCTTCTGGTGTTAGTAATGGTGTTAAGGGGCAGCTGCTCAAAACTGTGACCTTTTTACTTCTAGAGCTTATGAGGATGAGGCAGGGCCCAAACACTGGACTAACCTGCGCTATGAACACGTGATGAAACTGAGACAGGCTGCGCTTGAGGCAGCAAGAGAAATGTGGGCTGACTACTTCCTGGTAAGTGTCTTACCCCCAGTAGCTGTCAGCAGGAACTGTTGTTGGGGGAAGGAAGTGTAAAGTATACACATGGCTCTACAGTGCTAATAAACCTCTGTCTCCGAGTCTGAAAAAATGAATGCAGTGAGAAATCAGTATCTTATATCTTTTACAGGTTTGTGTGTAGCATATTTTCAGGCATTCTGTGAGATTTATATTTATACTTATCCAATCTATTTGGATATGACTTTTCAGAGTGTCTGAGTGTTTCTTTTTCACTTAGACGTTGTGTGCTACGAGGTGTAAATAAAGGTGAAATAAATTCTGATTTCATGTGTCTTGATTTCAGGCTGTTAGGCCACAAAAGGGCTGTTAGTTCCCATCCGCCACTCCATTGTTCTCCCTGCATTTCAGATTGTAGACTGTGACAACCTCCTGACAAACCCTGAGGTCCTGTGGAAGTTGATCACTGAAAACAAGACCATCGTGGCTCCCATGCTTGAGTCCAGAGCTGCCTACTCCAACTTCTGGTGCGGCATGACTACGCAGGTAGGATGGCAGGCCAGGAAACAGACTGGTGGTCACTGAATTTTCAGAAAGTACAAAAACCAGGAGTTTGGCTTAACAGAGCCAAAGCTACTTGCTTAGAACAGTCTTGACTCACACAGATATGGATCAGCCATATCACCCTGCAACTCACAACTGGGGCCAGCAGGGGGTGCTCACCCTTGCGGTCTATGTGAGTCCTAATGCCCCAGTACAGTGACGGGGACACTATACTGTAAACAGGCGCCGTCCTTCGGATGAGACGTAAAACCGAGGTCCTGACTCTCTGTGGTCATTAAAAATCCCAGGGCGCTTCTCGAAAAGAGTAGGGGTGTAACCCCGGTGTCCTGGCCAAATTTCCCCCATCATGGCCTCCTAATAATCCCCTTCTATGAATTGGCTACATTACTCTGCTCTCCTCCCCACTGATAGCTGATGTGTGGTGAGCGTTCTGGTGCACTATGGCTGCCGTCGCATCATCCAGGTGGATGCTGCACATTGGTGGTGGTGGAGGGGAGTCCCCATTACCTGTAAAGCGCTTTGAGTGGAATGTCCAGAAAAGCGCTATATAAGTGTAAGCAATTATTATTATTATTATTATTATTATTATTATTATTATTATTATTATATGGTAGGTATGGGAGCCAACTTCTAAATTGACATCAGATGAATGCAATTTCACAATCTACAAAGCAAAAATGGTTGATTTGACTACTCCATTGCCCGTGGAGGCTGGCTGCCCTATGCCAGCCAGTTTTCAGCTGAACCGTTGTCTATTTTCAACACTGACTTCTCTGTGCCTCTCTCCGTCCGCCCCCTGCCCCTCTCAGGGTTACTACAAGCGCACCCCGGCCTACATGCCCATCCGGAAGCAGGAGAGACAGGGCTGCTTCGCTGTTCCCATGGTGCACTCCACCTTCCTCATTGACCTGCGCAAAGAGGCGTCCCGTGAACTGGCCTTCTACCCCCCTCACCCCGACTACACCTGGGCCTTTGACGACATAATCGTCTTTGCTTTCTCTGCAAAAATGGCAGGTGAGAATAAGAGATTTAAAACCCCTTCAGTTGCTTTTGGCTGATATTCATGTCACCTGGTTTAGAGAGGGGCCCTGCTTCCTTACAAGTGGAACACTCAGCACTGTAGCTGATGCTGCATCATCAGGATGAGGTTGTGCCACGTGGCATCAGAGGTGAAAGGTCACCATGAAAGGAGATGGAGTTCCCAGGATTCACTCTGACGTTTTGTTTCTTTTGCAGACATTCAGATGTTTCTGTGCAACAGAGAAAGTTATGGGTTCTTCCCAGTTCCCTTGCGGTCACACGGCACTCTGCAGGATGAGACGGACAGCTTCCTACACACCATGCTGGAAGTCATGGGTGAGACGACTTGGCGTCAAAAGTTGACCACGTGGTTTTCAAGTCCTTTGATAGCTTCATATGTCTGCGTGTCCTGACTTTGTCCCAAATGCGTGAAATGGATATTCAGAGGGCATCTTAGTTGGCCATCTCTTTCCTCTGTAGCTTTTTAAATTTGCTTTGACAATACTTGTTATCTAGACTTTTCTGTTCTGAATCCCTTAAATCTGGATGTGTTGTCCTTTGTTTTTTAAATCGAAGCCAAGTAGCCAGTTTAACTTTCAGCAGTCTATTAGAGTTACACACTGAAAGGGTTTCTCATGCTGACAATAGGCAGAATTAAAAGTATCCAGGGGATGGGCTTCAGCAACATGGGTAGCTTATTCCACACCCTCACAATCCTTTGCATCCAGATTTAGAAATGTCCTTCCACGTAGTTTCCAATTATGTCCTCTGATTCGTGTGTCTCAGTTTATTCTGAAAATGTCCACTAACACATCCAAATAGATTTTGCTATTGTCTTCAAGGATTTTGAATCTTTGTATTGGGCCCCCTTGTACCTTTCTCCTTTCAAAGCTAAAGTTGATTTTTTTTAAATAAAGATTTTCACACTGCGTCACTTCCCAGGCAGGTCAACATAGTTTCCCTCACCAGGCAGGTTTTATCAAATAGCAACATGTGCCTTTAGAAGGTTTTAAAAAGTGGTCCTTTATGTAGGTCTTTAGACTTGTACTGGCCATAACAGAGAAGTGTTTCCATATGTTGTAGAATGTGAAACCATCTTACCTGTTCCATGCAGTGTGGAATAAAGAATGATTGAATGGCAGAAAACTGACAGGACGTGACCCCATTTAGTTTATTGCTATTCCTTGTTTGCCTTTTCTCCTAATGGTTCCTCGGTCTGTCTTTGAATGAAAATATAGTGCAAGTCTTTTCCTTTTACCAATATTTCAACTTGTGTCTATCACTCCAGATTTTACTAGCCATTTTCTGCTGAGGAATAACTGCAAGGGAAATTGTTTTAGTGAATATTCTACACCACTATACAGTAGAGTCTTGACATTCGTAAGGGTTTGGTGCAGAGAACAGTCTTCAGTAGCAACATTAGTCTATAACTATGTCCACTCCTATACTGCCACACAGTGTACAATACTACAGTTTATAGTATGGATAGTTGAAAGGCATAAGTAATTCTGCCTTATGTATTAATTACTGTTAAATTAAAATAATCAGTTAATATAACTTAACATCCAGCCTGCACATTCTCTCTCTGCCTCTGTGACCTGCACACCCCACTGTAGTATAAAGATCAATAAAACTGTCATCTCCAGCCTGTCGTTCCCCACACCTTTTGCCACAGAACCTGGAGTGTTTGTTACAATACAAAAACAAGACCTTGCTGAGATGCATAGTGGGTATTTGGTCAGGGGGCAGGGAGAGGTTCACTCACAAGCTACTGTAGATTAATCTCGCGATCCTCGTCTGTTGCACAACTGAATTGAAAGTAGCCCTGAACAGCTTTCAATTAAGATTCATCCAGCTCTGCTCTTCTTCCTTCTAAGACACCATCGGCCAAGACCGAATCGCTCATTAACAACATTCGCAAATTTACTGTAAATTGGTTGATGTCAGGACCCTACTGTGGATTTTGTGTGAAATCAGGATTTGCAAAGTACAGCACTGATTTTTACTCTCTCCCCCAGTTCGAAACCCACCTATAGAGCCCTCTCAGTTCATCTCCGTACCCCCCAAAAACCCAGACAAGATGGGCTTTGACGAGGTAAGAGGGTGCTGAGGGAGTCTGAAGACAGACAAAATAAATCGTGTTTATCGTGACCAATGTGTTTTTGCTGCCGGGTCAGCATGCACTTTGAGTGAGGAAGGAATAGAAAATATCAAAGATCAAAAGAAAAGATCAATGTCATGCCAAGCAGGCTGGCAAATGGCCCATGTTCCTTGAACGGGGATACTAAACCAGTAATCTCTCCATTACAGAATTTTGCAGCAACCACTCCCTTATTTAATTAAATAACATCAGACTGGATCAAAATGGCAAGGAAAAATGCTGGTGGCATCTAAATACTGTAATCAAGTACATTGGAAGGGCAGCCATAGGCATTCACATGCTGTCAAGGTTCAGTGATCCCATGGGGGAGCTGGGCTGCTTCCTCTCCCACTACCACACCTGGAATGAGGAGAGGGTGCAGGGGCAAGGCCCAGGCTTCGAGGCCTGCATGAGGTGGGTTGAGTTTACCCTGTCCTAGATCAATGGTAGGCAAACTAAACTGTCTGGAGGGCTGCCTTTGTGACTCTCAAGTGCTATAACACACCCCAAAGTACGGAATTGATAACTGAAGTGAGCTTAATCATTAGCACAATGCTAAAAGTACTGTATTTGGCACTCCATAAAGACCAAAGTTTGTGAAAAGCACCATTCCCTAAGCCAGGGGTGATGCTGGTATGTGGTCAATCTTACAGATCTTCATGATCAACCTGAAGAGGAGGAAGGACCGCAGAGACAGGATGTTGCAGACTCTGCACGAGCAAGAGATTGCCTGCAAAGTGGTTCCTGCTGTGGATGGCAAGTAAGTGTCCCACAGTGGCCAACCAGTTCCGTCACTCTGTTCTTATCTCCCAATTCGTACCAATTTTTTATTTGATGCTAAGAAGGCCATTTAGTGTGTGTATCCAACAATATTTCACCATAACAAAAACTAAAATTATTTATAATTTGTATTAGGGATTCTGTTTGGTTCAGAATAATAAAAGTTCAGTAATGTCCCTTTTTACTATTTTGTTGTAAGAATTGCAGCCGTATCCAGCGTGACTGTCTCTTCTTATCTTTGACACTCTTTTTGTGTGACAGAGCTCTGAATGTCAGTGATATCCACAACATGGGCATTCACATGCTGCCAGGGTACAGTGACCCCTACCACGGCCGTCCACTCACCAAGGGGGAGCTGGGCTGCTTCCTCTCCCACTACAACATCTGGAAGGAGGTGAGGGCACAGGGGCGAGGCCCAGGCTTTGAGGCCTGCATGAGGTGTAGTAATATGTTTGCCTGAAAAGTCTTCTCCCCGTGGATTTAATTAATTGTAAGACACTAGCGTTACTATTTCGGTATCCCAACAGGTGTCTGTGATCATGTGTCATAAGTCAGATTGTTAATGACAATCTTATTTACCACCTTTTAAGCTTAACAGTCATACAACAAACTTTGAGAAGGCATCATTGATGAAGTAGATCATTTTAATTGCACTTAATTGAGTAATGTTTCCATTATTGTGACAAGGTCCACTTACCAGTGTCTTGTGATTGTGTAGATAAAGTAAATGTGTCTTCTGAGCAGACCTGTGGGTGGGTGTGTCTGCTTTATTGCAGACTTGGAGCATTTGTGTGTTTTTGTCTCTGTGTGTGTGAACACGGTTCGGACTGTGTCCGTTCACAGATCGTGGACCGTGGTCTGGAAACATCTCTCGTGATCGAGGACGACCTGCGGTTCGAGGTGTTCTTCAAGAGACGTCTTCAGAACCTCATGTATGAGGTGCAGAGTGAAGGCCTGGACTGGGACCTCATGTGAGTATAGAGGGGAGAAGAATATTTGTTAGAGTGCTTCAAAATCCGTGGAAGATTGAGCTTGGATCACAAAACAACATGTTCTGAATTTAATTAAATGTTTTTGGAAACAGTATTATTATGGAATAACACAGGAGTAACTGAATTAGCAGCTGTTCCTGTGCTGTCATCTCCTCTCTGTACACAAAATGATCAGAAGGGAATACAGCCAGATGTGTCAATATCCAGCTGTTTAGAATTGCTTTTTTGCATGCTCTTAACCGAGCTAGTAAATTCCTTACCTAGGTTAGTTTAAGACCAAGCAGGGACTGGTCACAAGGTAGTAGTATTCGTGAGCTCGGAGAAATGTCAGTGCTGGAGAGACCTGACCAAAGGGTGTCCCTATAACATACAGAGGTAACATGCCAGTGTGTCTCATGAGCTATCTATAGGAAAAGGTGCTCGTAAGAAATCTCCATAGTGTTGTTCTCCCAAGGTGGGACTCAAAGTGCAATCCAGGAGATTTAAAAACCCAATTGCTGAGCGAGAGGCAGCCGAGCCCCAGAGGAACTGCGAGCAGTGTGCTCACGGTGTTGCAGGAGCAGGGCTAGCAGGGGTCGCGCACAGTGAGAGTGTGTTGCTGAAGCAGGGTAGCGACAGAGCAAAGTGAAGGAAAAACACAGTGCAGGATGGAAATCCAAACAAAGTGAGGGTTGTAACGGGAGCAGATGCAGTCCCAAATGAACCTGAGGGAGTCATCTGTGGACGCGGTCAGGAAAAAAGCAGGGGTCAGAGCACAGGCAAAGCCAGACAAGGGGAAAATACTTCGAGACAACGCTTGATGGACTCGAGTGTGAAAACTCAATGACAGAGCCCCCGAGCTCTCTTAGGTCCAAGTATTTATTCTGACGGGACGGGCATGCTTGTAAACCAACCCCAGGTGCTCCGAATCTCCAGGCGATTAGTCATTTGCGGCAGCCAGAGGAGGGAAATAGGTTGATGACACCACCACCTCTTGCACCACAGCTAGCTCACCCACCAGTCCGTCTGCCCGGACCAGCGCAACAATCTCCATTTCAATCTCAAGGGGTCTCTTGAGGATGTATGAATTGGTGAATGTGAAAAGTGTCATGCAAAACTCCACCCCCGCAACAGATTTAGAAGCAAGGACAGGGAGCCAAGAAGGCTTGCCAGTTTTCCTGAAACTCTCCTTCTCTTCCTCCTCTCGCAGTTACATCGGCCGCAAGCGCATGCAGGTGGATCACCCCGAGAAAGCGGTGCCCAACATCCACAACCTGGTAGAGGCTGACTACTCCTATTGGACCCTGGGCTACGTGATGTCACTGCAGGGCGCACGCAAGCTGCTGGAGGCGCAGCCCCTCACCAAGATGCTGCCCGTGGATGAGTTCCTGCCGGTCATGTACAACAAGCATCCAGTGTATGTATCCCAACGCAAGGAACATGGGGGGGAAAAGGAATTGCAGTTCCTGCGAAATAATATAGCCAGATCCTGCATGGGTTAGAAATGGTAAAACTGAAAAACTGTCAGGGTAGGATGTGGAGTTGAGACCTTATTTTTACTAAGTGGCTATAGAGCAAGGATGAGTACTCTTGTATAGAACAAGCTATCCAGCCAGGATTTTGAAGCCAGTGGCTTCTTCATAGAAACTGGATGAGATCCTCAGTTTGATTAGCTACTAGCTACCAAACGAGCTACTAGCTACTCTTGTTTGTAAACTCTCTTGTGTTTTTATTTTTATGAGTACCACAGAAGCGACTTCTGGGTCTGTCATATGTGTTGCTGTGATAATAAGAGGGATCCATGATTTATGTCCACCCTGCAAAAGCCATAGGAGAGCTTAGATTTGGAAGTCAGGAATGTGCAACATTTGGGGTAGAAAGTTACTAATTCAGAATTCATCATTACTATTACGAATTATTAAAATGTAGTGAGTAACCAGTGGTGTTCTGTGATATTCCTGACTACATTCTGGAAAGACACCAGTCCAGATCTAATGCATCACATAAGTTTTATCTAGACATCATTGTCTATATACAATAAGGTCTCAATTTGAAAATTTAACAGTCGTGGATTTGCTTATTTGTGATTCAGTCTGGCTGAAGGGGTCTTGTGTGAAAGAAGAGTAGAGCTGGATAAAACCAAGCTTAAAGCTGTTAACTGCTACTTTCAAATTAGTGGTGGAACAGACTTGGGTCATGAGACCAGTCTTGCTCATGAGTGAGCCTCGCCCTACCCTAGTACCCACTACCCAGCATCCCCATCTCAGCATGGTCTTATTTTTATACAGTAACAAACACTCCAGGTTCTGTGTCAGTAGAGTGGGGAATGACAGGCTGTAGACAGCTTTACAGGCTCACTGACAGTTTCATTTCCCCTTTCATTACAGTGAGATATGTTTATTAAGAGGCTGAGAGAGAAAGTACAGGGATCCAGGAGGGATTGGTGTTATTTTAGCTAATTACTATGTGATTACTGTTGTTTCTTTTAGTTGCTTGATGTTATTTAACTTAAAGCCAATGCATTAGTACTTTAATTATCGTATAATGGAAGATTACTTATGTTTTTTAATGATACATACTATATACTGTAGTATACAGCAGTATAGGGGTGGATTTGGGTATATGTAAATTTGGCTATTCATGATGATCCTTGTATGGTCTCGGCATCGACTATATGCTAGGAAAGACGTACTTAAAGAAAAACTTCAAAATCCAATGCATTTTAGAAACGCAACAGCCTATTTAGCTGCGACTTAAATTCTGTAATCCAGCTGCCTTCCCCTCCATCTCCTCAGGTCGGACTACATGGAGCAGTTTGAGAAGAGGGACCTCAAAGCATTTTCCGCCGAGCCCTTGCTGGTCTATCCCACGCACTACACGGGCGATCCCGGTTATGTCAGCGACACGGAGACCTCCACCATCTGGGACAACGAGCAGGTGAAAACGGACTGGGACAGGGCCAAGTCCCAGAAGACACAGGAGCAGGCAGAGCTGAGCAGCGAAGCCCAAAATTCCGACGTCCTCCAGTCGCCCCTGGATAGCACAGCCCGGGATGAGCTATGATCTTCGGGGTGACTGGACCTGAAAGCCTTCTTGAAAGATCCACCAGCGTCCACAGGCTTCACTGGAACACTCCCAAGATGGATTCGAAGGTTCCATTCCAAGAGAAGATCCCGTCTGGGGATCTTTAAAGACTGCCCTGCTCAGTCCTTGTCTGCAGGACTCTTTTGAATGCCTTCTCACTCCTAACCTGAATGTCTGTCCCTTTAATTTGAAATATTTTATTCTGCGGGATCGAAGATTGAGGCAGGAAAACCCCCGTTTCAGAAAATCACTCTACTGGACTGGAGCGTTCAAAAAAGGGTTATTGCTTTGGTTTTGGAACACAAGCTTTATTCCTGTTTTTATTGTCAATCTTGTGTGATTTTAAAGTCTTTGGGTTTTAAAGGTCGGTTTTAGGATGAGGCATTTTTAAAATGTGATCTAGGTTTCATGATTTGATTTCTGGATTAGGCATAAGCATATCCCTACCTTGAACTTGGACAATCAAGTTGACCTCTTATAGTTTTGCAGATTTAATTTTTTGTTTGTGCATAGAAGAATTCAGCATTGCATTGTGCCTTCCGTTGACCTGTTACTCCCTAGCAGTTGTTACCAGAACTAACAATCAGCAAATTATACTGAAGCTTTTCCTGGACTTTGCAGATTTTATACTCAGAGGGTGCAGTTCTGGTCATTGCCATAGGAAAAACAAATATCTCTAAGTGCAGTCTTGTGAGAAACCTCACAGTCAACTCTGCGTTTTAACTGACACATCTGACACTACTGTTAGCTTAAATACAGAGTGAAAAGTCAGAGATGAGATGTACTGTTAAGTAGCACCCACTAGGGACAAAATCTTCAAAGTTATAGGCTTTGTTCATCCTTTATATAAATATACAGTACATACACTGATGTGTTTCTGGATGCATAGGAGGGTTAGGATAAAGGGCTACATAATAGCCTGCTGT